TACCGTGATATTGAATGGTTTGCCTTGGAAACGAGCAGAGACCATATTATGTTTTTGAGATTGCATCTAAGTACTGCATTTTGGACTCTTTTGTTGACTATGATGGCTACTCCATTTCTTCTAAGGGATTCCTGCCCACAGTAGTAGATATAATGGTCATCTGAGTTAAATTCACCCATTCCAGTCCATTTTAGTTAGCTGATTCCTAAAATGTCAATGTTCACTCTTGCCATCTCCTGTTTGACCACTTCCAATTTGCCCTGATTCATGGACCTAACATCCCAGGTTCCTATGCAATATTGCTCTTTACAGCATCAGACTTTACTTCCATCATGTCACATCCTTAATTGGGTGTTGTTTTTGCTTTGGCTCTGTCTCTTCATTCTTTCTAGAGTTATTTCTCCATTGATCTCCAGTATCATATTGGGCACCTACTCACCTGGGGAGTTCATCTTTCAGTGTCCTATCTTTTTGCCTTTTCATACTATTCATGGGGTTCTCAAGGCAAGAATACTGAAGTGGTTTGCCATTCCCTTCTCCAGTGGACCACATTCTGTCAGAACTCTCCACCATGACCCATCTGTCTTAGGTAGCACTACATGGCATGGCTGATAGTTTCATTGAGTTAGACAAAGCTGTGGTCCTTGTGATCAGATTGGTTAGTTTTCTGTGATTGTGGTTTTCAGTCTGTCTGCCCTCTGATGGAGAAGGATAAGAGGCTTATGGAAGCTTCCTGATGGGAGAGACTGACTGAGGGGGAAACTGGGTCTTGTTCTGATGGGCAGGGCCATGCTCAGTTAATCTTTAATCCAATTTTCTGTTGATGGGTGGGGCTGTGTTCCCTCCCTGTTATTTCAGTCAGTTCAGTTGCTCAGTCATGTCCGACTCTTTGCAACCCCATGAATCGCAGCACACCAGGGCTCCCTGTCCATCACCAACTCACAGAGTTTACTCAAACTCATGCCCATCGAGTTGGGGATGCCATCCAGCCATCTCATCCTCTGTCGTCCCCTTCTCCTCCTGCCCCCAATCCCTTCCAGCATCAGGGTCTTTTCCAATGAGTCAACTCTTTGCATGAGGTGGTCAAAGTACTGGAGCTTCAGCTTCAGCATCAGTCCTTCCAATGAACACCCAGGACTCATCTCCTTTAGAATGAACTGGTTGGATCTCCTTGCAGTTCAAGGGACTCTCAAGAGTCTTCTCCAACACCACAGTTCAAAAGCATCAATTTTTCGGTGCTCAGCTTTCTTCACAGTCCAACGCTCACATTCATACATGACCACTGGAAAAACCATAGCCTTGACTAGATGGACATTTGTTGGCAAAGTAATGTGTCTGCTTTTTAATAAATATGCTATCTAGGTTGGTCATAACTTTCCTTCCAAGGAGTAAGCATCTTTCAATTTCATGGCTGCAATCACTATCTGCAGTGATTTTGGAGCCCCCAAAAATAAAGTCTGACACTATTTCCACTGTTTGCCCCATCTATTTCCCATGAAGTGATGGGACCAGATGCAATGATCTTAGTTTTCTGAATGTTGAGCTTTAAGCCAACTTTCTCACTCTCCTCTTTCACTTTCATCAAGAGGCTTTTTAGTTCCCCTTCACTTTCTGCCATAAGGGTGGTGTCATCTGCATATCTGAGGTTATTGATATTTCTCCCGGCAAACTTGATTCCAGGTTGTGCTTCTTGCAGCCCAGCATTTCTCATGATGTACTCTACATATAAGTTAAATAAGCGGGGTGACAATATACAACCTTGATGTACTCCTTTTCCTATTTCCTGTTATTTACCTGGGGTCAAACTATGGTGGAGGTAGTGAAGATAATGGCTTTAGCTTATTCATCTGCAAAGTGGGGGATAATAAGAAAGCCGACAGTATGTATGTATGTATGAGGCCTTAGTGAATTAATATGCACAGTGTTTGGGTCTTGGTAAGCACTCAGTATATTTTAGCTACTATTATAGCCACAAAAGGGTGCTTCCCAGGTGGCACAGTAGTAAAGAATCCGTCTGCCAATGCAAGAGACACAGAAGATGCAAGTTTGATCCCTGGGTTGGCAAGATCCTCTGGAGTAGGAAATGGCAAGCCACTCCAGTATTCCTGCCTGGAAAACTCAACAGACAGAGGATTCTGACAGGCTACAGCCCACAGAGTCGCAAAGAGTCAGGGACAAATGGACATACATAGCCACAAAAGAATGTTTTCACGTTCCTTGTGTACTTCAGAGAGGTATAAAGTACCCAAGACACTTGGCTACCAAGAGTCAGAGCTGAGATTCCAGCTCCCATCTCTAAGTGGCCCTGACCATGTTCCTTAGACTGTGAAATATAATACTTTATCTTGGCACAGACACAGTTACTAAGGAATCAGCTGAGTGTGTTTGAAAATCCTGTTATCAACCAGCTAGAATCCACACTCAGTGGTTAATCTCCAAAACAAAAGCATAGGAGCATTATACAAAATAAGCAAGTCGCCTGACCAAAGTCCACAGTACCTGTTCAGACATGTCAAAGATCTATGGATCCTAGGAGGGTCATTAATTACTGTGAAGTCTTGTGTTTGAAAAGCTGAGAAACAATCTATCATTGAGCTTTGTTTATTTGTAACAAATATATGTCCTTTAAAATAATGAGGGAAATCCAAATAATAATAATAATAATAAGGGGAAAAAGTCATAGAAAGGAGTATAATTAGTTTTGGGAAATTGCCCTATATAAGAAGTCAGGAAAACCAAGCCCTGTTTCCAACCATCCAAGAAGGATGTCTCTGTCTGTGCATGTCTGTGTGTATCTGTGGTGTGCATGCATAAGTGTGTCTGAGTATACGTGTGTGTGTGTGTGTGTGTGTGTGTGTGTGTGTGTGTAAAAATTCTGGAAAGAAATTCACTGTGAATTTAGTGAACTAAACACTAAAATTATAACACTAAACTGTTATCAACTTTTTAATTCTAAAAAGCTTAATATGTGGTAGGAGACAGGGGACTGTAAATTGTATTAAATGGAGAGTTACCAAAAGACCCCATAATTTTCAGATAAATGAAAACTGAAAGAATTTGTTGCAAACAGATGTGCAAAACAAGAAATGCCAAAGGAAGGTTTTCAGCATGATGAGACAAAATACGGGATGGTAATTCAATAAGGAATAAAGAACATCAGAAATGGTGACTAGGAAGTAAATATAAAATTATCTATATATCTTTTCCATTTTTCTTCCTTTCTCCAAATTTTGTTGAAAGATATTTCAAAAAAGATATTTAGTGCTTGCTTCGGCAGCACATATACTAAAAGTGGAATGATACAGAGAAGATTAGCATGGCCCTTGCGTAAGGATGACATGCAAATTTGTGAAGCGTTCCATATTTTTATGACCCAGAGGGATGGGATGGGGAGGGAGGTAGGAGGGGGGTTCAAGATGGGGAACACATGTAAACCCATGGCTGATTCATGTCAATGTATGGCAAAAACCACTACAATATTGTAAAATAATTAGCCTCCAACTAATAAAAATAAATGAAAAAAAAGATATATGCCTGTTTAAAGCAAAAATTATAATACAATACTGGGGTATATAACATATGTTGATGTAATATTTAGGATAAGAATAGCACAGATGATTAAACAGCATATGCAACTACACTGTTGCAAATTTCCTTTATTTACACAATGTGCTACAATATTAACTCAAGTAGATTGTGAGAAATTAGGGACACACATGGTAATACCTAGAAGAAACACCTGGGGAGAAACAATGCAAAAAGGTATGTGTGTATGTATGTAAAAAGTCAGTAGAGGAATTAAAACAGAATACTAAAAAATGGCTAACCTCAAAAAAGTCAGGAAAGGAGATCAGAAGAATAAAAAAAAAACATGAGACAAACAGAGAACAAATAATGAAATAGTAGCTCTAAATCCAACTATATCAATACCTACATATTATGTAAAATCAATTAAACACTCTAATTAGAAGATAGAAGTTAACATGTTTTTAAAAGGTGAGACCCAAGTAAAGCTGTCTATAAGAAATATACTTTAAAAATAAAGTCAGAAATGGAAGAATGGAAAAAGTGTATCATGTAAACACTAAGCACAAGAAAGCTGGAATGGCAATATTAATATCTGACAAAGTAGACTTCAATATAGGGCCTATTACTAAAGATAAGAAGGGAAAGAATGATATTTCATTATTATAAAAGGGTCAATATATCTGCAAGGTAAAAATAATTATGAATCTGTATATGTTTAATAACAGTTTCAAAATACAGGTGGCAAAAAATTATGTATATATATATATGTATATATATATCATATCCAAGAGCGTTTACTCAGAATGCATGATTGTTTTAACATGTAAAAACAAATCACTGTAATCCACCATATAAACCAATAAAGGGGAAAAATCATACATAGCGCTTCCCAGGTGGCACTAGTGGTAAAGAACCTGCCTGCCAATGCAGGAGACATAAGCAAGGCAATTTTGATCCTTGGGTTGGGAAGATCTCCTGGAGAAGGAAATGGCAACTCACTCCAGTATTCTTGCCTGGAGAATTCCATGAACAGAGGAGCCTGGCGGGCCATAGTCCATGTGGTCGCAAAGAGTCGGACATGACCGAGCAACTACTAGTAACTAACTATATGCACCAAACAGAGCATCTGAAAAATTCAACAATCATTCATGATAAAACTCTTAACAAACTGGAATAGAAGGGGACTTTCTCAATCTCATAAAGTATGTCTGTGAAAAACTTACTGCTAACATATACTTCAAGGTGAACAATAAGTTCTTTCCCTACAAATTGGGAAAAATCATGGATATCTGATCTCACCACTTCTGTTCAGCGTTCTCCTAAAAGTTCCAGCCATTATCATAGGGCAAGGGGAAAAAAAGCATAAAGGCTGAAACAGAAGTAAAACTGTCCTTATTTACAGATGATATGGTTACATTTCTATACAGAAGTATATTCCTATTGATAATAGTTATATATGGTAAATTCCATTGATCATACGGCTTTTTAAAAACATGAAATATCTAAGATCTTTACACTCAAAACTACTATATTGTTGAGGAAAATTAAAGAAGACCTAAATAAATGGAACATTATAACATTTATAAGTTGAAAGATTCAACATTGGTGAGATAAAAGTTCTCCCCAAACTGAACTATATATTCATTCAGTGATCTACATATTCATCCCAGAAGAAACTGAAAGGTGATTTTACAATTTATATGGAAATGAAAAGGACCTAAAATAGCCAAAACGATCTTGAAAAATAACAAAGTTGGAAGACTTATACTACATGATCTCAAGTCTTATTAGTAGGCTATAGTAATCAAGACCATGAAGGATTGGTATAAGGACTCATCTTTTTATTTTGTTCTAAGAACCAAATAAGTTACCAATCTTTTGCTAACAGAATCTTGTTGGCCTTTTAAAGGTTCTTAATGAAGCTTATTTTATGCTACTGCTATTCATGCATTTATATTGTTCTTCTACTAGACTGTGAACTTCTCCTGGCATCCAAGCATTCAGTTTTACCTAAATTTATAAGTCTTCAATGCCTGTGCTATTCTATATCTTCAGTGACCATTATGTATCTTAAACAAGCATAATCTAAATCCTCATGAGCATGGATGAAACAGAAAGCCACAAAACTTCCTTCCCAAATAACTCACCCAAGGTGGAGGGCTGGCTGATTTTTGGTGACACCCATTTTGGGGAGGACTCAGGATGGGGGGCCACGGGTTGCACTGGGCGAGTCTGTCTGGCTGCCAGTTTCATCAGACTCATTTGTCTCTTGTGAAATATTTCTTGCACGTCGCTCAGCTTCTGCAGAACTTTCTGGGCTTTAGCCTACGGGAACAAAGCAGATCATGAGCTGGTGGCTCTGCACTGAATCTGAGAACATGAGGCACTCCCTTTCTCCCATCTTCCCCTCTACCCCTCTTCTATGAGCATCCATATGCAGGTCAGAGCGTATCTTGCCTTGTACAGAATTGTGCTTCTAAGAGCCTATACCTCCCACTTGATTGTCAGAAGCTGTATTTTTCCACCACTGTATCTCCAGCACCTGGAACACTGCCGGGCACTGAGGGGTTCAGTTCAGTTCAGCTCAGTTCAGTCACTCAGTTCAGTTTAGTCGCTCAGTCATGTCTGACTCTTTGCGACCCCATGAATTACAGCACGCCAGGGCTCCCTGTCCATCACCAACTCACGGAGTTTACTCAAACTCATGTCCATCAAGTCAGTGATGCCATCCAGCCATCTCATCCTCTGTCGTCCCCTTCTCCTGCCCCCAATCCCTCCCAGCATCAGGGTCTTTTCCAATGAGTCAACTCTTTGCATGAGGAGGCCAAAGTATTGGAGTTTCAGCTTCAGCATCAGTCCTTCCAATGAATACCCAGGACTGATCTCCTTTAGGAGAGACTGGTTGGATCTCCTTGCAGTCCAAGGGACTCTGAAGAGTCTTAGTCATGGCAAATGGGCTTCCCTTGTGGCTCAGATGGTAAAGAATCTGCCTGCAATGTGGGAGACCTAGGTTCGATCCTGGGTTTGGAA